ACTGTGTGCAAGGGTGACTCTGGGGTCAGGCAGACATTAAGCTTTAGAGCATCTCCTGAAGGGTGGTGGATGGGAAGAGCTGATCTGTTTCTGAGGGATTTATAGAAGTCGCCCAAAAGACACAGTTACCTCAAATCGGAATAAGCTCAGAGAAGTACCGAAATGAAAAGGGGACTGGTAGGTGTAAAGAGTAGCACAGAATGGGCATGTGTCTCCAATCTGTCAGCTGAGGCTCGTATATATATGCAAAGCAGAGTGGAAAGGGAAGATCAGTGTGGGATTTGCAGGGCTGAATTGTTAGTATTCCTTATGGGAATGGAGAATCTGAACAGCCTTCATGCTGGGCCCTTGATTTAGTGTTAAATAAAAAAACGGAACAGATAGATCTATTGCTTGATTCTTAGTACATTATAAGAGGAAGAGCTGTTCATTAGGCAACTTTAGGATCCTGGATTAACCTGGATCTTACTCTGGAGCTAAGAAATTGCCCATTTATGAACTGAGAATAACAGCATGGAAACAGTGGGAGAAAAATAGCTTGGGGGGAACAAGGATAGTCAACTCAAGTAGAAATCAAGTACGTGATGCTACATTGAGGACTATGAAGGAGTCTTCTAATTACGTACAAATTCAGATTATCAGCCTGCCTTCTATTCCTAAAACACAGCTTGAGGTTTTCCTTGATTTTTCCTTTTGGAGTAGAGTTTTGTGAAGACAAGGTCCAGCTGTGGTTGTTTGGTTGGTTTTTTTTATAATTTAGCACTTACCAGAGCCATGAGTGTTTCTTCTGGTTTTGGGGGTTTAATCTCTGCTTCCTCCAGACCACAGGAATATAGTTCCCTTACATTTCCATTCTCAGCAGCAGTCGCAAATGCCGTGGCTTGCCTAGAAGGTTGCCAGCTCTTTTGAAGTTTCGTACATGAGGATAAAGGTATATCCTTCCTTATAAAAGTACTTTACCAAAAATGCTTCAGCAGCTAGAATGCTGTTGATACATAGTCCATAGTTGTCATTTGGAGCATCTAAAGTGAAATTAAATCCCACTGTGTTTCTCGGTTCTTAGTGCTGCGTGTTTTGTGTGGCAAATAAAGTGCAACTTGGACTTCTGGATTTCTTTCAGACTTTTGTATCAGGTGGACTGCTGTGGTTCAGTGAAGAACAAGTGAAGGATGGGCCCCAAAGAAGTAAGAAAAACTGAATTCATTTAGTCAGCTAAAAAGACAAACTTTTATTATTGTTGAGGAGGGAAAAGGAAGATACCTAGATAATTATCGGGGTTTTAATCTTCCCTCGTAAAATTACTAATGGTGAGAGTTCTTTAGACATTGATTGTATCAAGTGTTTGCAGGCTTCATTTATTATCTACTAACCAAAATTAGCATTGTAGAACCAAAGCGATACCAAGCTTTTCTCCTACATTTCTGTTGAGAACACTATTTATTCAAGATTTTAGAAGCAAGTCTCTGGAAACCCCTGATCGCTTCAGAAAAGGATTCCCCTTTACACTATACAGCAGGCACTGAAACCATGATACAAAATTTATTTCATGCTAGAATTGTTTTGCATAACATTGTGCATGCATTTTACTCAGTACTAAATTGCATACAATGCTGTTGTCTTGTTTCTTAAACTTTGAGACCATTTATACTTGAGTATTTTCCTGATTTTGTACTATAAGTCCCAGTTTTAAAATAACACCTCTTTTGTTTAAAATTCATACTGATTACTTAATATGAACAATTTATGAAGGGTCTTTACGTTGGATCTATACATCAATAAAATACAACATAACCAGAGCTGGAAAATTAACCAGCTGTTACTGTCAGGTCCGAAGGAAGGTCCCATGTGTCACAAGCATGCCAACAAAAACAGACAGGAAAAAGTTTTTCTTATTTTTATACACTTCTAGTTGGATTAAAAGTTCTTGATTTCCATGTTGGTGTGATGAACTGTGAAGGCGTGGTCAATATGACCGATGACTGCCTGATTGCGCTTTTTAAAACCATTACTCTGTATCTTGTATACAAAAAGAAGCTATCCATAGCAAAGAAATGTACAGTTTTATAACGTTTTACATTTTGGCTACAACAATGTATGTAAAAGTAAAGAGCTTTGAAAGAAAATATATAACTTTGCTTTTTTTTTTTTTTTTTTTCCTCCTTAGTCATACATTTTCAGTGTTTCTTGGTTTTTGTTGGTAGTTTTTCTTTTCTTTTTTTGCCTTTTTTTTTCTTTTTGTCTTCATGCAATTCATGCTATGGAACAAAAAAATAGATTTAAAAAAAAAAAAAAGGATCTTCTACAGTTTTGTTACATTTTGGCCGTAGAAAAAGCCTGCATCTCTAGTACAACTCCAAAACCACGAAGAATCATCCATAAAACCTGCATGGAGCGAGTTAACTTTGTCCAAATGAGAAGGTCTTCTATGCCTGCACAGTTCCACACAGATGTTTATTAGCCATCAATGTTCATCTCCATCTTGCCTTGTCAGGTCACTCTGACTGCCTCTGTTGGCATATATTTAGCAATGACTGGACTTTCTTTGCAAAGATCTGCATGTAAAGAATACAATCAGTACTTGAGCTTCTTCCCTGTGCTTTTCACATCAAGCTCGGCATCTTAGTGTTAAAGGAAGGAGGAAAAGGTGAAATAGCTACATGCAGAGGCAGCCATATTCTTCTTCAACAGGATTTTTTTTTTTCCCATGCAGTCAGCCAGACTGAGACCTCTCTACAGTGTGTCTGAGTATTGCTTTCAGCTTAAAATAGGTGCCCATGCAACGTTTCATCCTACTGTGCTTGTTTGCTCAAACTCCTGCAGGGTTCCTATGGCTCAAAAATATCCTGAGAAAAGCAAAATCTTCCATCGTTGGCATGTTTCAGCATCGACTAAATGCCTAACCCATTCCATACAGAGCCAGTAGATCCACCATTAGCTAAAATAAGCATATACTAGCAGGATGCACCAGGAAGGAAACTATCTGGTGCATCTACCCTTCATTCTATGTACTGATACCATGCAGCGTGTATGGCCCACCAGTTCTACGTAAATGCCTGCCTATTGTCATCTGAGTGCTATTTAGGAGTGTTGTCACCTAGCATCAGTAGTAACACCATTTCCAGCAGGTGCTACTGTGAGACATTGCATCTTCAGACTTAGTCACCTGGTTTATATGCAACATAGCATAGGCTAATTGAAAATAAAGCTTTTTAGACCATTCTCTGCTACTGATCCATGCTACAAAATAGATGGGATGGGAGACCAAGAACGTCTCACTGGACTAGGAGAGCTGTAGGGCGCAGACACTGAGGATAATCCTATCGCTTTTCCACTTATGCCAGCTATGCTGTTAAGGCTCCGTGACATTTCGTAACCTTCATTTAAAAGAAAAATGCAAAGTACAGCATTGGATCAATGACAGAATGGACTAAGAATGAGGTCAACATTGTAGCCAGTTCAATACCATCTGCATGCATGGACATGCCGAGAGTAGTATCGCTTGCAACATGACTCAGAAGGCCATTGAAGTACAGAACAAGTTTAAGAAAAAAAATATATATATACCCTCCCCCCTCACCCCCTCCCAAAACAGCGTTTCTCAAGGATGGTCAGGCTACGTAATTGATCCTACAGGCAGCAAGATGGTTGTACCCTAAAAAGAAAAAGAGTCAGTGGGAGAGATTTTCTGTGTCTGTCATATACTCGCGCATACCTCTCCCACTTCATGCATTTTGACCTCAGGCAAAATTAAGGTTTCTGGTATCTTTGGGGGCAGGAGGGGGAAAAGGCAGCACAGTCCATAGAATTTATTGTGTTGCTATAGAGATACTACTCCTTTGTTCACAGCACTTTAAAAGAAAAAAACAAAACCAAAATTGCATGCATTTGATTTCCCTCCCTCCCTCCCCCACCTCCATTCTCTTTAAGACATGCACGTAAACAGCTCAGCAAGTGTACAGAGAGTTGCATGAACTATGGATGATTTTCTGTTGGAACAACAATTAAGATGCTCTCAACGTGTTTCAAACAGGCCAACAATATGCTGACATATATTACTCTTTAGCCAACCAGCCTCTGTTTCATTCAGTAACAAGAGGCGGTTGCAGTGCATCGTGAAAACCATACATTCCCCATCCCAAAGGATGTGCCATTTGGAGTGTTCCCCTGATCCACTGGAACCACCCGAACTCGCCCAGGCTGAATGAACGCGGCCAATGCTTATCCGATACAGAATCAAGTAAAACGCTTTGCTACAAAGGTAAAATTTAGAGGATATACTTTCATATGAAAGTCTTGTGGTCCAACTATATCTTTGTTGATGATAAGCTTTAAAACTTATAAATACATACACTATCTATAACAGGCATTTACTATAACTATTGCCCATCATACAATGGCACATGGGAATTTTGTACTCCATACTCAGTGTATGGTTACATCATACAATCTTTGCTGTTTTTAAATATTGACTATATCATATATTATATACAGTACACCAGCGATAAACACTGATTTAAAGAGAGAAATTTCGTTTCCAATTTTCCCATTCCTTATCAACTTTGATGCATATATATGTAACTCTGATTTTGGTTGCATGGTTCCCTCACATTAAATTATTTGAACAAAACAGCCTATTTTAAGAAGGAAAATTTTCTTATTTGATTTGACTTCTGTTACCAAATAGATTATTCTGACCATTAGCAAACTGAAATGCAGTTACTTCTGAGAGATCCGTAGCTGTCAGAAGCCTGAGAAACTAACTGGTAATGATATATTTATGAAAGGAAAGTGATTTTACGTGGATTATTTTCCAGTTGTAAGACACCTGTGCTAACAGATGTTCTTGTATGCTTCTCTTTCTCTGTTGAGCTAAACAGCTATGATATCCAAATAATTTGTTTTAGTGCTCTGTTAAGGTAGCCAAATAATAATTTCCTATTTCTTGAGGATGTTTTGCTTTTGTGTTTTGTCTTTTCCGTCTGCCACCTCCAAGTCTGTGCTCCTTAGAATCTGGTAAGATCTGTGAGCTTTCCAAATGGCAAACCTTCATTGCTATGAAATGTAAATTGGCCTCTTCCTTCGAGGATGGGCTAATTTAAGGACACTGTAGAGCATCCTCCACTAAAGTAACTGCACCAGCTGGGGTGGAAGACTTGACTGCCTAGCATAGCTGCATTGGGGTAGTTACAGCTCCTCAGGCTTTTCTTTCTGAAAGAAATAGGTTAGAAACTCCAAATGCAGACATCAGGTGGTGGTTTCCAGCCCAAACGTGCATCTGTACAGCAAGCGCACTATCGCGTGCTACAGCTACAGCTGACTTTTCTCTTATTTAAAACGGTTGCTAACTATGTGGTTCCAGGACCCCAGCTACATACCCTTTCTTATTCCTCCATCAGGCGGGCAGGGATATTCCCCGGTTGATAAGAGGAAGCAGGGTCCATATCTCTCCCGAGTGCCAGAGCGGGTAAAGGGCAGGCCCTCATCAGGCGTAATAGCCTGGTCTATGTGGGGACAGTCTTCGTTTGCCAGCGCCGCCTTGGCCACCTCACCATTCAGTTTCGAATCTTCAAACATATAAGCAGAAGGCTATTGAAACACTATGTACTGTTTATTAGAGTTCCAGCTGCAAATTAAGGGTTTACAGCTAAAGACTTCTACAGCAACACTTATAAAAGGTAGCACATCTGTCCTAGACACTGCATTCATGTGCACTGCACCAAAATGAAATAAAGTCTGTTAAGTGGGAGGAGAAACAAAAGGTGATCACGTTAGGGGTAACAGCAGCCACCTGTACTTCCACATAGAGGGGCAGATTCAGAAACGGGCGTGCATTGGTTCCTAGTCCTGTGAGCAGAAGACTGCAGTTAGAAATCAGATTATGTTTTTGCATGACATCAGATGGCGTATGTATGACCTGTTTGTCATGAAGCCTACTGTCGCTCAGAGCTTTGGAGAGGCAGTGGACTGACTGTGAGTTGTGTTTTAGTATTTGAGTATATTCTGTTTGTGCTGGTTTATACCTGTGTACAGTATCACTGGGGGGAGAATTCCTGCTCTTCCCCTCCCCAAAATTTACCCAGATTGTTTTATAGCATTTCTGGTATCAGTCATGCAGAATGGCTGTACACATTTTAGACACACAGAGTACATTATGTATGGAAACACAACAGCAGAATGTGGATTTTTTAAAAAAGCAATCAATTTTCTGACGTTCTCTTTTGAAACGCATACAGTATTTGCAATGCCAGCACAGGACACTACATACAGAAAACACTACAGCAGGCCATGAATTTGGAAAATAGAGAGAGTAAGATTTACTCTCAGCTGTAAATACTGAAAAGAGGAGGCCAGATTTGTCCATTTTGCTCCATACATTCCCATGAGGATAGACTGAGAATACTATGTTTTCTCTGTGTGACTTGTTTTACATTTATGAAACAATTTAAAGTGCTATTTAGTGTACTATTTAGGGCTTTTAAGTGCAAATTAGTGTATTGAGAATATACTCCAAATATGGCACAGCTCAATATGAGTATTTTGGTTGAAGGGAGGAAGAAACAGTCAAAATATGCTTTCTGAAGTTTCCCAAATGCTGAGATATGTTAACTGAGTGGTATTGGCAGCATCCTACACCTCGGTTGCACAATGCTTATTACCTAGACATTGTAAGGCAGTGGGTGGTCCTGCAAGTCTTTAAGGAAAGACAAACTCAACAGATAGATAGACTTAATTTCAGTGCCTCTTCCAGATTCACTTACTTGCTTGTTCTGAATGCTACACAATACTATAATGTATTTTTTCAATGGTTTTGAAGCTGAATAATAAAACAAGCCGGAAAGAAAAGAATACATCAGGTAGGATTTGGAGATATAATTCTGATCCTCTGGTTTCAGGCTGACAACATAGATGAGTAGTAGGCAAAAGCCTTTTCAAGTTATATTCGTTGCTTTGCACACAGACGCACACACGCAGATGTATATGACACATACTATGCATCTATCCATGCACCAGTAATTGCAATCTGTGCCTTTTATTTTATTTAGATGCCACTGGTTTGTCACAACATGAACAGTCTTTTCTGCAGATCTCACCTCTGCCTCCTTACTTCACCACACAGAAGTAGCCAATTATTTCCCCAAAGAGAGTGGTATTAATGTTTTGTTTTGTGAACAATGAAATAATTAGGTCTCTCAATGCATTTTTAAAAATGACAAAAGCTATAGCTGTGTTTTAATACTTGTAGACATTCATTTCAGTAGGATTCTAAAGTTTTAAGGTTGCACTGACTTGCTGTTACTTTCTGCTCATAATGCTCACTGCTATTTAATATCTCTCTTTGCACAAAAAACCTGGCATGGCTGCCATAGTAACCGTGCCATTGCAGGTACTTAGCTGCTGGTTTAAAAATCATTTAATTGTATTTGGGGAGAGCTGCTGTCCTCATGAGGGTGAGCAAAGAACTGGGCTTCTTCATAAGCCTCTACTGATACAAGCTGGTGGCTCTAATCCTGAAATGAGGGAGGCAGCTGTGTCAGCAAAGCTCTGCGTTGACATCACTGAGACTCCCACTGCTAGACCTGAGCCTGCATTTGCAAACTAAACTGTTAGTGATTGGGGGAGGGGGGGACTGGTCCATTTCTGGAGCTCAAAACATCTCTGAGCAGAGTGGTTGTGGGTCTGACTGCTCACCGGTAACAGCCATTGGAAACAGCTTACAGGCTCTGTTGTGCTTGAATGACAAGAAAATTTACTTTCTTGGAATTATTTTCCTAAATTGCAACTTGAGCTTGAATGTGCATTTGCAGCCTCCTCAGTGTCCCATAGCACTGATGAATTTTTCTCTCTTGAGAAATATTTCTGTGAATATTTCTCTGTTTTCTTGTTGAAAACCCACAACCTTGTTATTTCTATTCAGTAGGAAGAGAACAGGGTAGCTGGAGATGTGGACAAATTACTGAACTGTTCTACTGATGTCCCTTAGTCCACAATAACAATTTTGCTAAATATTTAGGAAGCAGAGAAATTACCAGCACAGAAGACTGTATCTATTGCTGGTGTATATAAGTAAATGTTAAGGAGAGTAGCTGTATTCCAAACCACTGTGTGCAGCACCTAATTCTCTGAGGGTAGGACTCATCAATTTTATTTACTATGTGATTAGTTTTTATGGGTATAAAGAAACATCACTGATGTCATCAGCCCACAGTTTGAAGTTCCCATTGTTTACATTAGCAGATCTACATGCTGAACAATTTTAGGAATGAGGTATAAAGATGGAATGAAATGATGTTATTTTAGGTTGATTTCTCAAGTTTCTATTTGTATGTTTTTCCAAGATTGACTTTGTGTTTGAAACAACTTCAGAAAAAGCAAACTATTGAAACCATCACTGTCTGCTGAGTAGATGACTACTTCTAGGTGCTTAGAACTTCTTAGGCTTGATTGTGGCCTACTGAATTGATGTGAGTCCATCCCTGCTAGAAGAATCTGAATTAGGCTTGTGCAGCATTTTTTGTTCTTTAGGTTCTGTTTCATGAAGAAAAGTCAATGTTTTCATCTCTGTTTTACAGATGGGTAAAACTACCATGCAGTGAAGTGACTTGCCCACTGCTGTATAAAAAGTTATTTACCACAAAATCTTCTGACTCCCAGCTTGGGCACCTTATCTACATAATTGTCCTATCTGTGAATACCTAGTTAACTGCACCAGCTTTAAACATTCTTCTGCAGAGATATGGCTGAGAGGCAGAAGAAAGTATTCAGCAGATCTCCCAGGTGAGTAGTTTGTTTCACAACTATCACATTTGTGTGGCTCCCACTTTCTTTTTTCCTGTCTCATCTATCTCCATTTGCAGAAAAGTGCTATTAAAATGCCCTGGGCTTTCCAAAGCAATGACTAAATTTCAAAATGAGGGGATGGTTTCTGCAAAGAAAAAAACAACCCCAAACAAAAAACCAAACCAATTTAGGAGAACTGCTGGATTTTGAATTAGTATACTCTGCTTATTGTGGAGAAGCACAGAAGAGACTACCTATGTACTTGCTGCTTGTTTCATCTCTTTTGTCCTAGCAAATGATTACACACTGTGGTAGTGACTTTACTAGTGCTGCTGGTTTTGACTATAAGCTAGAATCTGACACTGCCTTTCCACCTATTTGAACTGCATCTTATGTTCAGAGTGTCACTGCACATAATTGTATGATATTTTCATTGACCGTAATCTGTGCTTGGAAATTGGCACTTGTATGGAAGTTGTTCCTACACTGGGAAAGGCACCCCAGTCCTCTTCCTTTAAGCAAACACTGCCATTTTCCAACAGCTGCCCAGAAACAAGTTCCTGGTCTACCCTTCTTACTCAGATGTTTTCAGAAATCGTGTGTGGGCCAGGGATGGTCCCAACTCACACTGCTTCCTCTTGGGATTGTAGCTGCCCACCACTCCCACCTTGTCTCCTGTGTGTCTATAGAGCTATGAAGGGGTCAATCCAAAGACTGGATGAGTTGAAAGGCACTCTCAGGGTGTACCATTTTCAGTCCTTACAGGATTGGAAATCCAATGAATTTTCCAGTCTTTATAGGAACTTCTGTAGGTTGTAACCACTTTGACTGAAACAGGGCTGAGAGAAATTCCACAATTCATAGCATGGTTCCATGCATATTTATCATACTTATCACATGACCTGTGAGTCAGTATCTGGCTACATAAACCATGCCATTTTCTTTGACATTGTGCTGAAGAAGATGGGATCTTCTCAGCCCCAGATCAGAAGCACAGTGATTAAAGAGACATAGTGCTTTTTCCTTTGCACACATTAGATCTCTCAGTGGTCACTGGCAGTCTCTTCCAGAAGAACACAGACTGTTTAGGAATTAAAAGAGACAAGGACTTTGCTTGAGTACCTACAGCTTGAATAGCCATTTGCCATTCCACAAAGACTTGGCTGACTTCAGGGTTCTGCAGTCCTGTTACAAGGGAAGGGGTTAACAAGCAGGAAGGAAGTAATAGCAGCTGAGGTTAAAATAGGGACAGGACTGAGAAAGCAAGTTGCTCGAGAGATGAAGATTTCTACGGGGGAGACCTTGTCTGACTAAAGTTACATTCCACACCACCAACCCCATGTACACCTACAAATCAATCTGCAGTTTGTCTGGATCTCAACTGTTCTTTTACAGCCCTTGTTTCTGGTTATCATTGTTACGGTCTATGGATAGTCACTCCTGACCAACCAATTGATAGTGTCCTTTGGTTCTAATTCAGAGCTTAAAGGTCATTGTCATTTGTTCATTTTAAACCCTTGTTGCTAACCCTAACATGCACAGTAGTTGCCTGAAGTATCTCATGAAGAAGGATCTCCATGAGGTCCCTCACAGCAGAGACCTTTAATCCAGTTGGATCCCTGAAGAAAGTAATGGTACATTGTCCATTGAGTGAGATAATAACTCTTCTGGTTTTCAGTCCTCTCACACTTTTCTGATGATGTAAAAGGGTTGTTAACATTGCAGACGTTAGTTGTGTCATACTGTGCTGGCAACACACAGGGAACTATCTTGGTATGATGGTTTT